CCCATCTCCCAGCATCAAAAACCCCTTAAAGGGCCAGAAGGCACCAGCATGAAGGGGTTAAAGAAGGAAACGAGTGCTCAAATAGTATTGTAAGTAAATGTCAACCACAAATCTGTAGGGGGCAATGCCCTATTGAGATTTGGTTTCCTCAAGATGCTTGCTATGGTAGGGTATTCCTAGGTCATATTTCACAAGCCAAAGTTTGTCTGAATAACAATATTACTCTTTTGTGGTCTCATTTTCAATTAAAAAAAATAAATAAATTTGTGAATGTTCAAGAGTGCCATTTCTTTTAAAAAGGAATATAGCAAGCAATTTACTTTTACACAGAAAACTCTCTTTAAAAAAAAGTTTCAGCATTTTGCAAATACATTATAGAAAATCAGTTTTTCTGGTATTGGTCTGGTTGAATTATACCTTACAGACTTAAAGCGGAGTTCCACTCAACCTATCAAAAAATAAAAAAGTCAGCAGCTACAAAAACTGTAGCTGCTTTTAAAAAAACAGCCACTTACCTGTCCCTCGGTCCCATGGTGTGTCACCCGCAGCTCGTTTCACCGGCAGTCCTGTATTCCAACTGGGTAACCACTGCACATGCGCGAATAGCGCTGCACTTCATGAATGGTTCTGTCATGTGTCCCAAAAGACTACAGGGAGGAAGGAAAATGGGAGGGTACCTGTCCAATTCGGGTACCCGCTCCGACCCCCTCCCCCAAAAAGGTGCCAATCCTTAATAGGGAGCAGTCCTTAAAGCGGAACTTCCACTTTTGGGTGGAGCTCCGCTTTAAGATACATTTTATATTTGGTTGTTTAAGATAAATTAATAGCACTGACAAATTTACTATAAGTAAAGTCAAATCCAAAACAATTGCACAGTTCTCATTAGCTGTGCAATGACTCTGGCTTCAGAATACCACTTAGTGGAAATAGTTATTCTAACAAGGCTTTATCCATATTATGCACCACTGAAGGGCTAAATAGCAGTGGTGGTCAATTTGACAGGCACAAGGGGCCTCACTAGAGGTCCAAAAGATTGCCTATGGTCAGCATCTGGAATACTATAGAAGAGGTTCAGAGACTGAGAACATTCTGAAGATATGCTACAGTACAGGAGATAGTTAAAGCAGAACTTCACTCTCAAATCAACATTGACTATTTGTAATCATTATGCTGCTATCATTAGTAAAAAAAAAAAAAAAAGATAAGGGAAGTGTGTCATATTTACTTGTTTTAAACTTTTTTTTTTTGTTTCCATGCCTAGGCAAATTACATCATACATCCCAGGAGTCTTCAGGAGCAGGGGAAGGCTTTTTCTCAGTGAAGCACACCTTCCTGCCTCAGCTATGGGCAGATGAATTTCAGGAAGTAAATGCTTTATGAATCATCTGCCCTTAATCAAAATGGCCAAGGCCAGAAAAGCTAGGGGTTGTTTTTCAAAGTGATCTCAGCCAAATAAAGCATGGAGACATGGTTTTATGGGTGAGTTTGCTTTGAATATTAAATATTAAAATAATATTTTAAGTTTGTGTTGCTCAGGTGCAGTGTAGCTCCGCTTTAAAGACAGCAAGCATATTGAATGTGTAAGAGTAAGGATTGTCAGTATTTACAGTCTTCAGAACACCTTTACAGCCCACATTCTTGCTCCCAATGGCCCAAATAAAAATTCCTGCCCTGCAGCCCCAAGACATGAATATATACACTACAAGGCTGGCTTTTTTTTTCTTCTGTTACTAGTACTTAGACCATGCAGACCACTGGATCTGGAGAGAGACAAGAGTCAAACTCAACAGATAAAGATATTGGTTGCTGATCGCAGTGACAACTGCCAAATTAGAGAATGTGTACACTACAATGGGAGCATTATGACTCTCAAACATTTATGTCAACAGCCCCATGACGACTTACTGTCCTTGTCATGTCAACACACCATAACCACTACACGAAAAAAACAATGCACTACAAAACACAGAATAGAAGCAATGTCTTGGAAACTATCACTGGCTGCTATATTTTACTATAGTTTTTTAAATGTATTCAGGTGGTTAATATTCCTTACTGTCTGGGTCTGTTGGTGGCACAGTCATCACTATGGTGCCCAGGGATAAGGGACTACTAAAGAATATTCGTAACTACCCCTGCATACTCCTAAACAGAGAACATCCAACCGATAAATGGCTTCAACAGGTATGTTCTTAGCAATGATAATAGTAGGTTCATAAGGCTGATCTGCATAAACACAAAAGTGTAAAGTTACAACTAAGTTTTTCTACGGAGGTACTACAATCTCAAGTGTAAATACCTCAGTGGATTGTAAAACCAGATATTGTAGTACCTCAGTGGAAAAACATTAGTTGTAACTTTACACTTTTGTGTTTATGCACATCTTCTTTACGGACCTATTATTATTGTGCACTAATTTATATGGTGGATCATAAGTATTCACATATTTAATGATTAAGCACTGAATTTACTTTTTTTTTATTTTTGAAAAAAAAAA